GTTTTGTGTATGTGTGTGTTCATTTTCAACTTTTTAAGTTTGAGATGAATTTAAACTTAAGGAAAAATTGATATAATAAAAAGATTTCCCATGTGCTCTTCACTCAGATTCAAAAATTGTTAATATTTTGCAACATTTCCTTTGTCTCTTTCTGTATATGTACATGTATTTCTCTTAACTATTTGAGAGTAAGTTATAGGCGTTTCTCTTACCCCCACATGTTTCAGCATCTGTTTCCTAAGAAGGAAAAAAATTATCTCTTCCATAACCAAAGTACAATTATGAAATTAGAAAATTTAACATTGAAATAATTCTATTAGCCAATGTACAGTCATACCCAAATTTCATCAATTATCCTAACAATGTTCTTTATAATCTTTTACCCCTCAATCCAGTTTTCATTGCATTTAGTTATGTCTCTTCAGTCTTTAATCTGTACAATTCCTTGGCCTTTCTTTGTTATATGAAAGTGTGTATGTAATTTTTTTTACATATTTGATATAGTGTAATAGGCATTGTTCCTTTTCTTATATTTTCACTGTTGTTAAATACACCCAAACTTATGTGTAGACACCTGTCTTGTTTGCTGCTTCAAACTTCTGTTTAGTATTTCATGATATGCATCTGCCAAAGTTTACTTGTGCATTCCCCAGTGACGGACATTTAGATCGTCTTCAACTCCTTGCTATCATAAATAATTCCATCATGAACACCTTCATATATGTCCCTTTGGGGAATATTTCAAGGATAGATATTCACAGGATTGCTGGGTCATAATGTATCTGCCTATTTCATTTGACTAAATACTGCTGAATTGCTCTCTAGAACAGCTGCCCTGACCATACTACAAGTGTTGTGAACTAATATTCCAGTTTCTCTACCCCACTTGCCAACACTTAGTTCTAATTTTTGCCAGTGTCATGGTTTTGAAGTAACCTCTTGTTTATTCTCTCTGATCACAAATGAGTTTCACTTTTTGTTTTTTTGCTGAACTCTTCATTGATAGAGTTCTCTTCAGCAGGGAAAAAAATCTTTTTCCTCATATACTTCAGAATGATTTAAAAAAAAACTGTACCCTATTGTGTTTTTCAGTTGATGTCTACAATTTTTTATTTTATATCTAATTGAAAAGGACAGAATTTCTGGTGTACTGTAAATATTAGTGTGTAAAAGATAAAATTGTTACATATCTCTTAAATATATCCAGTTGAGTCTAAATGCCATAACAATTTGGTAACTATTGTTATGCATTTAAGAAATATACAGGTGCTTCTTTTATAGTAAAAATTTTTAACATTTTTTTCTCCTTTAACTCAATATGTCTACTTTTTCTCTACCTCCCAGAATATTATCCTAATGTCTATTTTACTATTTTTAATATATTTAAAATATATTTTATGCTTAAAGGTGTTAATTATATCAAATGCCTTCATAACAAAAATATATATAAATTGCAATTACAGTTAAAAACTTCCTGTGATCAAAATGAATTTTTTCTAAGTTATATATTCATTACATTACAATACTTATTAGCTAATGATTGCTCACAGGAACATATATATATATATACATATATATATATATATATTACAGATTTTAATAAATAATTAAATATAGAAATAAAGTTTTTATTAGAAGATGTATCTTTAATTAGATGTGGTTTTTCAATTACTGTATTTATCTCTGTATTGCTATAAAAATGAGACAGGATTTCAGCATCAATTCAATTTCTTTATTTTGTTTCTGTAGATGATGAATGTTTTGTTCACATAAGTAAGTCGATGAAATGAAGTGAGTTTATTATAGAAATATCACTCAATCCTTTGACTTCTTTTGAATTATTTGTGAAAAAAAATGTAGCCATGTTGACCTGTCATCAAAAAATGTTTTTAGCAACACATCAGCTGTTAATTTGATTATATCCTCCTGTAAATTTGATGAAAGCAAGAAACTATTTGATAAGTTATTCACTCATTAAAGTCATCCTCTTTCTCAACACTGACACCAAATTCTTCCAATTTCTCTTTTCTTGACGCCCATGTTTTTATACTCCAAGGCAATGTACTATTGTAAAATTATGGATGGGTGAAAGATACATTTTTCTCTTCTAAGTGGAAGAAATAAGATTTCAAAAGGAGAAGGCTGGCTTTTTTTAGAAGAGAACATAAGGAAGTTGAGGATCTCAAAAATGATTTTCTTAAAGTTATCTGTGCCTGCTTACACCTGTCTTAACATGACTCAGGCATATTTAAAAGGCTGCTGCTAAAAAAAAAAAAAGTATTTTTAAAGCTGTCATCATTTGAAAAGAATTATAGTAGTATTCACATGGTACCACCAACCTTTGAGAGAAATATAGACTACTAAGTTTATTGAATTAAAAATTTGCAGAAAGGAGCCTTTTATGTAAATTTGTGGCTGATTGTTTTGACAGAATATATGTCTAATTTAATAAACTGTAAACTCCATCATCATGTGCCTAGAAGACTGTTCAAACAGGTTGGCTCCAGTGTGTTGATGTAAAATGGGAAAACTAAATTTTGGTGTTCTTAGTTATTTGGTATTTTAACATAGGGCTCTGGATACTTTCATACACTTCTCTTCCTTTGCTTTTGTTACTTCCTCCACCTGAGTTACTGGTTCCTCCTTCCTGCCCCCCATATATGAACATATTATATGTCTTCATGATAGCTCTTTTATATCGTATTTATGAAGACCAATTCATTCAGCTTCCTAAACATGTCTCAAGTCTAATTCCACCTCTCTTCCAGGACCCTAATTCAGACCCACATCATTTTTCGATTTCTCAGCCTTCTATCTGCTCCCCCTGGCTCCATCCTCTACCCACTCCATTGTCTCCATCACAGAATTATTATAATGACCTGTCTAAAATATAGATCAGCTCCATATTTTCCCACTCAGAAATCTTCCCTTGTTCTTATAAATCTTTAACGTCGCTACACTGCCAAAAGTATTAATATTTACTTTCCTTTATTAACTTGTAATCATCTGTTCTCTACACTTCCAAATTTTTCTCCAGCAACTACCCTCATCTGTTGTATACTCTTGTCACACAAATCATTTATTTCCTTGAACACATATTATGGTGCAATTATTAGAATGTCACAATGGAAACATGATTTTTTTTTTTTAGTAATATTCAACCTCAACTTATGGCTACTTGTGAAGAAAGGCTAGAATATATTCATATGCAGTGGGTATATCCTTTACAGACACATTTTATGATTTATCATTGAAATATGTTTTTAGATCTCTTTGATAGTACTAAGCGTGGCCATCAGACACAGGAAAAAATGACAAAGCAAAGCTTTGGAAAAGTGAAGGGAGGATGGTGGTAAAGGAAAACTATTATCCCCATAACCCTTAAATGTATCAAGATTTTTCAAAACGTGTTTTGAAAACATAGATACACACAAACATAAATGACATATGTATTTAGTTCTCCTTTATCCATATTAGTAAGGAAAAGGACTTCTGTGTTTGGCCTATACCCTGTGGCTCATGTAACCCTCTTTTTAGAATTCCCTTCTGGATTCAGCATAGCGAAGTAGCATGAACCCTAGCATGTGAAAAGGCAGGTTCTACTAGCAATTTCAACACTTACTAATTGTATGATCTTTAATAAATCTTTTTACTAATTTCAGCTTTTCTCATCTATAAAGTGAGAATTAATATATATTCCCTATCTGTTCAAGGAGAGACGGTATCATAAGAGATAACATTTGAGGTATATGATAAATTTCAAGAGATTTAGAAATATATTGTAACACTGAATTATTCCTTAGTCTCTTTAACTGTAATCCTATATTTCCTTAGAGGATCTAGTCTATCGTTATGGGAGGCATATGTTGATAAGGCTAATAAATGATCAAATAAGGAAATAAAGGATGTATTGGGGGTTTGTTTGTTTTATTTTTTTTCTTATTTCTTTTATGTTTCTTATGTTTCTTCCTTGTTAAAACAGTTTTGGTATGAACCATGATGGAATTGGAAATTCTTGTGGGACCAAAGGTCATGAAACAGCAAAACTTATGGCAGCTCACATTACTGCAAATACCAATCCTTTTTCCTGGTCTGCGTGCAGTCGAGACTATATCACCAGCTTTCTAGAGTAAGTAATCTCTGGAGAGTGATGATGAATTACTCCAGAAGTAAGCCATTGGTAGAAGCCTAATATGTAGTGCTTCAAATTTTGCATAATGAGTAACCTTTATAGGGCCCAGTGATATTTCAGGCTGTTCCCAAAATACTTTAATATATCATTGTGGCAAATTTTTTCCTTCATATTCAAACAGAACTTAGTGAATAGATCAGAGGAACTGGAGCGAGGATTTAAGTGGGGCTGATGATGTGAGTGTTAGAAATGTTCAATAAGTGGAAAACAGTGTCAGAAAAAAAATGTAGATTTACATAATTTATAGAGCATAGGTCAAACTTTAATTCAGTGATTATATATTTCATTTTTTTGGTGGAAAAAAACTTGAGTTCAAATAGGAATGCCAGAGTATCTAATAGTAACGAACAACAACAACAAAAAATCAAGCACCCAGGAAATAAAAATGAGGAAATGAAAATTTGTCTTTGAAAATTTATTGAGTGACTCATCTTTTCTACAGTTCGGGACCTTCTTTGCTGGTCCTTTAATGTATATTCCAAGAATCTGGTTACTTAACTGTGAAGAACATAAATTAACTCACTTATAACTATGTTTAGGAAAGCAGATGTTCTACATCTCACCTGCCATAGGGCTTCAGTATTGAGCTTTGGAAACTAATAGACTTAGGTCTCACTTTCTAACTGTGTGACCTTGGGCATGTTACTTCGCCTTTATAACCTTCAGTGACCTCATTCGTTAAATGAGTTTAGTCAATAATACATACATTAGGTTATTATGTATATAATTATATATAATGCTATAATGCACTAAAAACACAATAGACATTTCATTAATTGGTAAACATTATTATTTTAAATAATATCAAGGTTTTAAGCTTTACTGCTCTATCATTACTTTCAACTATTTTGTGCCATTTTTTTCTTGGGGAGGAGAGATTAAATACTCCGTGAAAAAGTGAGTCATACATAAAGCACAGGCAAGCAACAGAAATCTTTTTTAAAATTGTCATTGTTCAAAGTTCACATTAGGATGATGATAGTGTAAAAATTTAAAATTATAAAAATTCAGCTATGTTATGTAGAGTAACATTATTTATTAAAGTTTTGGTTCATATCTGAATGGCCAGATCATACCCTGAAAAGTAATAATTTTTTTAGAAGCCTCAAACAAGAGATTTTAAATTACCTGACACAATGCTTTGCTCAATCAAAGATCAAAAGATAAATGTTTAAAACAATCTCTTTTGAATTAACTTATATAATAATGAAATTGAAGGAATTGGAAATTCATTTTGGAAAGTAGCTCTTCTGTGTAACCTAACAATTTTTAATCCTAATAATAGATAATTATAACACTTTAACTTGTCTAGTGCCAAAACTGGGTGAAGAACTATAAAGATAGACCACAGAGAATTTGTTTGACATCTTTTAGTAGTTTTTAACACAAAGCACTAGCAATATCATTTTCCAAGATGTTTTTAATGATATCACATTACCTAAATTTAAACATTGTTGAAGATCTGCTCTCCCCAGAAATCAAGCCAGATCTGCAATTTCTCCCTGCACTTGGCTCATGTTTTTATAATGGAATCTTAGTGTCTGTCACCAGAAAGACAAACTATATAACATGCTCAGTATTCCTGTGCATTTTCAAAGGCTTCCGTCCTCTTGTTCTCTTCAAGTACCGTTTTCTTGTTCCTCTGTTCTATTTCTATTGCACAGCCCATTTTCATTGTGTGCGTTCTAAATACAAGGACCAATTTTCATCTCTTGCCAGCACCTGCCTAGCCGAAACCATATCAAGGCTGTTAAAACACTCCAAAGGGGAATCCCGAAATTGCTGATAAAACACAGTTAAGAAATCACCACTGGTTTGGTGAGAAATGTAGAATTATTATTAGTTGCAATGAAGTGTTCCATTGAATTAAAAGAATTAACCAAAAAGCATCATTTAAGCCTTGTTGTCTCTTTGCATTTCGTGTGTGTAAGCATGCTTAGAGTTGACAGGGTTCTGATGGGCTTATTTATCCTGTATTTGATAAAAATATTTCTGTTGTGTATTCTCATGGGGATACTTACAAAATTAAAGCCTTTTGTGAAAGATAGATGTGTAAGACAATGGATAGAGATTTGGGGAAAAGTTGGCTTTATTTCCCATCTTTAATAATAAACTAAACAGCTCTGATCATAATCTGACCAAACAATAAAGGTTTTTAAAACACAAGGCCCTTCAAAAAGGTCAATGCACTGGAGCACAAAGACATAATAGTAAATTTCTTGAATTTCTTTGTTCCTTTTTATTAATGCAGCGGACTTAATTGCTTTAGCAGCTATGTGTGATATTTTTTAAAATCCAGTGATATTTTGATCAGGGATTGAGGTTACATTTATGTTTTATAGTTGGCTCAAAAAGACTCATAACATTTTATTTCAGTTTTTCCTCTCAAGAAAAAGAAATTTTGAAAGATGAATTGTTTAGGAACTGCAGCCCAGCCAACAAAATGCATACCTTTCTCTACTTAGTGACTGTATAGGCCAAAGATGATGGTGGATTTTAACAATGAGCTTTCTATGATTTATAGAGATTCACTATTCACTATGTTCAAATGAAAACAATTCCATGGCCTTTAAATGCCAACAGAGTAAAAACGTCTCTCGTGTCATTCTGAAACACTACGTGCTATTGATCAACCAGGAGATGGTGTTTACCAACTCCCAATATTTTTTTTCAGATTTCTTAAACTCGGTGATTCAATAAGTGGTTCATGAATCGCCCAGAAGCCGTCCTGATTAAATAATAAAGAACCCATTTCCGTTAAAATGGACGTGTTATGCCTGCTTCTGATGTTTTCGGCGGACGGCTTTGCAGGTAGTGTCCTTCCTATCTGCCTGCGGGACTGATTTATTTACTGACTTACCTAGAGAACAGAGAAAGCTGAACCTGGTGTTATGGCTCACTCTCACCGATGGCAGTGGGCTGACTTACCAGGCAGTGGAAGGCAGCCAGAAGTCATTTAGGCCAGTTTTTTTTTTCATATATTTTCCACCACTTAGTGGTAGTACAGAGTAATTTCATATAGTTTTCAAAAATTCCGAGGCCTCTGTGAATCAACTCTTGCTCTATTTAAATTAAAGTCTGTTAAATTGTTTGAACTGTCAAAGATCCATAGCAAAATTTCCTACAGTTCCAAATTAAATAGAGACCAGCCGTTTTCACAGGAAAGGATGGAAGCTGGAAAAAGGAAAGGCAACATTATGGTTGAAGGTGAACTAGGAAGAAAGGTGAGTGTAGAGCTACAAGAGAAATGATATATATATATAACATGAATAGGATGACCAGGACACTCACATTTTCTCTATAGCAATTACATTTGAAGGTCAAAATCAGTAATCTATTAGACAGACAACAATCTTATAGATAGGACCTTTTTTTTTTTTAAGTGGAACCTATGGAACAGCATAGAAAAACAGGTTTCTCCTCCCTTCCATTTATTTATCTGACAAGTTTTGGGGACTTCACTCCAACCCATAAATATCTTTGGTAAGTTATAATTACGTATGGGGAAAAAGAGAGCATAACTGAGTAAACCATTAGCACAGTGTTTGTATGTTGGAAGCCTCAAGTTCAGTTATGTTCAAGCACTGAAGTCATACAGAAGGCAAGACAGGAAGGTCTGACTTAAAGTAACTCATGTTAGGAGGGGCTGTATTGTGAGTGTTGTGATGACCAATAGAGCAGTTTATGAGAACATAGTAGGTCAGACACTTGATTTGCCATAGATGATACCAACCGAATTCATTTTTGCTTGATTTAGGTATATTAGCACAATTTTGTGGGAAAAAAATAGGAGATGGCATTAAAGGTTAACTTTTTGTTGTTGTTGTTAAGAGACTGTTGAGATATGTACAGGGTTATATAGGAAGGTTTGTTTTTTAGTTGACCAACTAACTGTGTGGTAGACTGAAGGTCTATACTTGACAGTGTAATTGTCTGAGTGAAAAATAAATCTAACAGTACAATTAGGAGTATGTCCTCATGTGTTCTGGAAACAGAGCCAAGAGTGCATATTTTACATAGGGATCTGTAAATTTTAGTGGAAGACTCAATTCTGGCTCATGTTCCTATTTTCAAGGCTAACTTTTGAGCTATGTAAATAAGACTTCTCTAAATTAGAAGTAGAATACATAAAATATGACTTTGCTATCATGCTGCAAGGATTTCTGGAAATGTAAATATACTTTGATTTACTAAGAATTCCATAATCAAGGAAAAAGCATATTCTCAAACTTATACACATTTTTTTTGCCTTAATAGCATAAATAAAAGTCGAGTCTATGAATTCAATAATTATCTATATTATTGTAGATTTTAACTAGGATTGGGCTTTTAGTTGTGAAATATATGCTGCTAGGTAAATAATCATAGTTCTACTTTTTATGTAAACAGTTATGCTCTGGACAAGAACATCTGTGCTTAAAAATAGTAAGTTGTATTAGCATCTCATCGATGAAAACTGTGCACTAACAGTGCTCTTCATTTTATTTATTAATGAGTGAGGTTTATATTTTCTGAGTAGAAAAATTCTCATATGACACTAAAGCACAAGCTATGTTTAAAAGTGATATTTGATGAGAAAATTCAAGAAGATTTACATATAATATCACTACTATCATTTTAATAATGGTAGCATATAACACTAGCATCATAAGAATTGTATGGTTATATCGATTAGCTAGAATCCTAGATTAAATAAAAATTACTCACAACTTCCATTTTGTTAAAAGGAAACAGTTATAAAATATATGAAAATAACTCATATCTAATATCTTTAAGAAAGGGAAAACATTTGTACCAGGAGACCTATACAAAAATATTCATATCAGCATAATTTGCAATTTCCAGAAATTAGAAATAATTCAAATGTTCACTTGATACTTGTGGCATACTCTTAAATGGCATATTAAAGAATAATATAAATAAACAGGCTACAGTTATACTCATCAATATGGATATATCTCACATTCATAGTACTGAGTGAGTAAAAGAATAAAGTCACAAAAGAAAATCTGCAGTATGACTCCTGTTTTATTGAGTCCAAAAACATTCGGATGAATACTTGGGAGGTAAAACTACTAACAAAAACAAGGAAATTATTATTTTAAAAAATCAGGATATTAGTTACTTCCTGGGGGGAAATGAGGGGTGTGATTAGGGTAGAGCACTTGAGAATTTTCTAAGAAAAAATAAAGAAAGAAAATCACTTCCATGGTTAAATATACATCTCTCAAATCCATCTCCTCTACTTTCTATACCTATACCTGCGATACTTGATGATAGTAATTGATGACTTAGGAACATGGAAATACCCAGAATTATTATTTTCTAAGAGTTAGTTAATAATTTATAATGGTGATCTATAGATTTAACTTATTTGAAATGAGCAGGAAGTAGCAGACAAATTTTAATAACATTATGCAAAAAGCATTTTTGTTGCTTAACCCCCAGTCAAGATTAAAATAGAAAAACTACCCCATTCCCTAAATACTTTACACAAGGTTTTATTGTATACCAGATATGGTTACTAGGAGGAAAATATGTAATACGTTCTCTACCCCAAATGCATATAGCAACAACGTAAGTCAGCCTGTCCCACACTTGCTTTCCCAGAGCCATTAATAAAATAGTAGGTAAGACACTTGACTTGCAAGCATTGGTAATTTGTACAAATGCCACCAAACCCATCTCAAAAGGCCTTTGTTCCTAAATATACATGTTCATTTTTTAAAGATCACATATGATTTTTCACTATTTTATTTCAGATGGTTTATTCTTCTGTAAAAAAAATATACTGGAAAAAGGAAGAAGACTTGTGTATATGTTTAATTAGACCACATTAATACAAAGCAATAGGTAGTTCCAAAGAACTGAAACAAAATCCACTTTGGGATAAACTTTCTCAGAAGAATGTGGCCACTGGTAACCACAGTGCATGGCATTCAAAGTCTGGGGGCCCTTGCGATGGTTGTCTGATTTGGTATTTTTAAAGAACATGAACCATGATTGGAAGACCATTAATACCTGGGAACAAGAACTTTAAGGAAATAATTATTCTTACTTCCTCCTGGATGAAGTTAATTTTTAGTTTGCTATCAGAAAAGAATGTTTTCCTCACAGTGTTTATTCTTAAACTTTAAGGTCCACATAATTTTTCCTCTACATTTTTAGATTAATTTTCTGTATTTCTAAAAGTAATTATGTATAGTGATTTTTCATAGATTTCCAGTTGATGCCACTTAGATGAATATACCTTATGCTTTCTTTGTTATGCTATTGGCAAATATTTTTACCTATAGGATCCTGTATTTAAATACTTCAGTACTTAAATTTTTCCCATTGATTTTTAGTAGTATTTAACTTGATATTTTATGTTTATTACATATTTAACTCCTTTCATCAAGACTTTTATTATTTTGTTATAGAGATGAAACTGATATTTTTAAAAAGAAAATTAGGGAATTACTACTAATTCAATTGTCTCACTAATATTCCATATTATCAAAATGGACCATCTTCTTCCATTATATTTTTCATGTTGATGTTTTTATCATTAACCTTAATATAAAAATTTGAATTTAATAGTAAAATGAACTTGCTTACCATTTGTGTACCTGTATAGATTAAAGATATTTTGCATTATAAAATAAAAAGAACTTTGTATTTTAAAAATTCATCAAGGAATAATTTTCCTTACCCAGGTACATGCCAATTTCTAAAAGTACAATAAACAGGAAATAAAAAGTGTTTTGTCTTAAAAACTGGGTAGCTGGGTGAAAAAAAAGTTGTTCTCTATTAGTGAGATACTTGAACAGTGACAAGTGAAATGATTGTAATAGCCAATAGCAAAATCCATCTATATTAGTAACACTTTTATTATTCCATCTAAATATTTTTAGTGATTAAAAATTAATCAAGAGGTGCATAAATGAAAGGAAAAATGTGTAAAGAAGACAGTATTCTGTCCCTTGGGTTTTTGAATCTGTCATCTTATGAATACTATTGTTCTATTTTTAAAAGATATTAATTTGCTGCTGTGCAAATACACATTTTTATATAGCAAATTAGCTTTTACATTTTAAGATACAATAAAATTTCAAGTAATCTGAAACTCATTATTATGCATGGTTCTTTCTTATTTATCTATAAATGAAAATTTGTACTGTCCTAAATAATAGTTGAGGAACTTCTACTTGTGAAATTATTTTCCTTTGGCAAAGTAGATGGAAAAGATTTGGAAAAAAAACACAAGTGCTGGCACAATTGACAGGAATGCTGGAAAAAATTTTTAAATGTTGGCATAGGAATTCTTTAAAAATTCTAACTTACTCACATGTGAAATGAAAGTAAAAAAGCATCTGTCCTATTTTATGCACACTGACTCAATAAAAATGAACAATTATATTTAGCAAAGTATAAAGCTCTTTAAACTAAGGTATTCTGTCTGGTTTTTGGCGATCTTTATGTTATTTGTTCCACTGAATTAAATATTATGTTTGAGTGCTAGCACACTTTGAAAAGCAGAAATTATATAGAGAGGAGAACATTCCCTTTCCTAACTCTGATGACCCTAGATGAAATATGAAATTTTTGAGAGACTAAACACTTCTAATATACTTGAGAGCAGAACTTTGGATCTTGGCCTCATCTGTCATTCAGCCCATTTATTACTGAAATATTTCAAGAACCTTTGGACATGTCTTACTACAGTACCTATTGTTCTACTCAAGGTGGAAGTATATAGATTAGGTCTTTAAGGATTACAGCCACATTTTTTTGTTTGTTTTATTTTCCACATTTTATGTTTTTAATTCTACTACCAGATATGGTTATGTTTTCACTGAAAACAAACAAGAAACTTAGAGCAATGTGAAATTCTGTTTTGATTCCTTCAGAAATTAGTTTAAATCAGTGTTTTAAGGCCAATGTGACATTTTCATATTGTTGCCTGAGATGCTTTTATTATGTCTTGGTGCTGGAAAAACTACTGGAGCTCTTATTCAGGTTTCAGTAAAGCTATTCTATTTTTCCATGTGATTATTTCTTGGTAGAATGTATTGTTTTTCATGCATCAAGTTATTAAAACACAGAGCTCAACAATGGTTTCATAATTGTGATGGAAGTAGTCCATAGTGTACCTAATTTCCTTTGATCCTTTATGTTGAACAGTTCAGGCCGTGGCACTTGCCTTGATAATGAGCCTCCCAAGCGTGAATTTCTTTATCCAACTGTGGCCCCAGGTCAGGTGTATGATGCTGATGAACAATGTCGCTACCAGTATGGAGCAACGTCCCGCCAGTGTAAATATGGGGTAAGAAGTCTCAATCCTTATGTTTAGTTATTTATATGCGTTCCTTCATGACACACATGTTAGGATGGAATTTTGATGAATATAATTTACCTCCGGTAGCATCATTTATGCCAATGTGGCCTTTGGCAGGGCTCTTTTTCTGATATCTTTTGTGTAATATCTATTTCTAAATGTTTGAGTAATCCTAAATTGAACAATTTTCAAATGTCTTGTGAAGGGTGCTGATAGAATTTTAATAATTTTAAATGTATTTCTTCTTTAAGTCCTGAGTTTATGATGCCATCTTTATTTTATTTTATGAAATGTTATGGTTTTGAAACCTCTCCACCCACCTCCGCCTTTTCTGGTTCTCTAATAATTGGGGTACCCACATTCTAACACAACAACCAAGTGGGGACAAGATGACGTTAACCCATACAGAGAAACAAAGAAAATGGCTGTGGAAAAAAAAATAGGTATCATAATTAACTCTTCATGTCTGCCTAAAGATGTCTCAGTGTCAATTTCAGAAGATTCTGAGAACCATTTCAGTGTCTGGGATAGGGACATGTTCATAGTAGGTACATAGTATAAGCATGTGGAAAGAAAGAGAAGGATTTTTAAATAAGTTGTCAAAAAATATTCAGGGGTGAAAAATACATTTAAAGACTTGGTTCCTATTTTTATGCAAATAGTGTTTAAAGTCTCTTTTAAAAAAAATAAAAAGAATTAAATTTTAAGGTAGTTAAGACAAAACAATATATGCATTGTATTATACCAGTTAGTCCTCATGGGTACAGACAAAGGAAAGTGATTTTTAAAATCTCCCTGGGGTGACAAGACTCTTATTATATTATTCATTGGCTTTGGAAGCACGTTTTGTGTGCTCCAATAGATTTGAAGATTGTGTGCAACTACCTGAATATCTAGAGCCTCGAGTAAAACTTTGGCCTCTCTGGTCTCTGTAAAAAGTCTTTACTTCTATTCTCATTTATGATTTTAGTTTTGTTTTTTTTCTTGGGTTGCTTTTTCCATTGGAAAAAGTAGGCCAAACTTTAATCCCAGTCTTCGTATATACTTGTAGTTTAGTGGCTTGAAATTCATGATCAAATGAGATTACAGATTTTCTGTTAAGATTATTCTTATCTATGGCTTCTCATTTCTTTGTTAGCAAGTGAAATAGTTAATCTACATTTAGGTTTTCTATTGGAAATTGTGTTTTAGCTCCACCTATATATTTCCATATTAAATAATTTATATATTATCAGTTTTAAAGGATTTATGGATGTATTTTTTCTTCAATAAATTAATAAAACAATTTAACCTATCTCATATATATGTATATCATTTATTTCAGACTTGTTGGTTTGAAGTGAGATAAATAGTAATGAGAAATTGTATATTTTCAGTTTATATTCCTTATATTTAGCTTTTAGGTTCTACTTCTTTATGTATTATATTTATAAAGACTTTTGTAATAGACATAAAATAAAATTGGAAAACAAGAGAAAGACATTAACATCTTACAATCCTATGCAATTTCATGTTTTTTATTATGAATCTTTTCACATTGATTTGCAGCAAAATTATTTCTTACACTCATGTACTATATAAAAATGCTTATGCTACCTTTTTATAAAGTACTATATATTATTAACAGTTTCTTGAGTCATAGGAGCGTCTTTATAATCATGCCACCTCTTAAGCTTGTATCTAAAAATTGGCTTTACAAAATTATAAATAATAGCACGCAGACACACCCCATGTTTTATCAGATGAACCCTGAAGTTTTAAAACGATTCAGAATACTACTTTAGAAAACAGTAGTGGCTTTGAAGGTGAGAGTTCAGTAGGTAAACAAGTCATGCTTGCGATGGTAGCTAAAGTGGGGACAGACCAGCCCTGATTTAGGTTGCTGTCTGAGTGTAGCATCCCAAGATTAGCACTCAACATAAATAAGACTGGAGGCTGAGAAGAGCACTGCAGCCTTTCAGTGAGGGGATACTTGTGCTGAGGTATCACGAAGTGGCCTTCTTTCAACTAGCAGGTCCCTAATGTTGTTAGGGAAGATTTGATTTTATTTTTAAATTTTTATTTATACAGATTTTATCTATCAGTATATATTACATTATAAATTAAAAATTTTAAAAATAACTACAAAATGACCCATAACTGCAGCAGCAATCAGCTTTCCGTCTCTCCCACTTTGGTCCTCATGTGGCCATTGCTGGGGTTACCAGGGATTACATCTGTACTGATGAAAAATCTTGCCTGAATTCTTTGTGAGTAGGTTCATTAATACACATGTTAGTTGCATTTGGGAATTCATGTGAAAGCTTTGCTTTTTTGTTTTACTCCAGACAACATTTTCCACCATTATCCTTGTATATCATCCATTGATATTTTCCAGGTATTCCATAATTCCATTAGAAGTATGAGGAGATTGTAATGGCTATAAATACAAAGAACAAAGCAGTATAGCACAATAGACAGAGTAATATAGTTATATAATATAATACTTTATAAGTGATATATAGTTGCTGTTAATTACAGTCTTTTTTCTGAGATATTTCAGACTGCTTTGATTAAAATTGTAATTATGTTTTATATCTAGAGAAACTAAAAATACAAAATATGATTTACCTACCCCAAGCTAAAACATAAATAAAAATAGGCCTAAATCTGTCAGTTCTGCTTTCTATTAGATATAGTAAATATGTTAATGAAGATAGCAGAGATATTATTTCAGGAGACACTTTTATCAGTTTTCATCAGTGGATGTTTGTTTCTAAACATCTCCTCAAAACTCTCCATTTTGTTCAGTCTTTTTTGTGAGAGAGATGATCAGAAGAGCTTCCCTAAACTTATTTTCAGGATCATAAATCCTCAGGTGTCTGGAAACCTGAGTCTTGGATTTGATTTTCCTTTTCTTTAACCTGATACAAGGTTAGCACCTCTTCAGGGCGAGATGCAGGTACAGACAAGCAGCAAAGCCAAGCCCCTACTAGATCATCAAAACAAATCCGTTAGCAGTTTTCTAAGAGGGTATTTGATGCATCCTTGATGAAAATGCATTGCAAAAAAATAAGAGTATCAGTTTAGTCCAAAAAATATTTCTTTGCCTATTTAGAGGCAAATGCTTCCTATAAATATCTGTAGAATATATTGTGTCATTCCTCTTCCATTTTCTATTAGTTTCTTCTCTCTTAGTGGAAGAGAATTGGTAAAACTAGATTAACAAAAACACTTCACAACAACAATAAATTTAAACATAGGAAGGAAGTCACTAACGAGCCTTTATATTGATCTTTTGACTTCTTTCCATAAAGCACAGATTAATTCAGGGATCAGCCTCAGACATAGCTCTGTATTTCTTTATTCTGTCACTTTAAATCATATTCCGAATGTTGTTTTCAAATACATTTAACGGTTCAATATAGGTTAACAATATCCAGTATATAATTTACTGGTAGCTATCGAGATGATTTCCCTAATGGCATTTTTTAATAGAAACAGAAAAAAATCCTAAAATTCATATGGAACCACAAAAGACCCCAAATAGCTAAAGCGATTTTTGAACAGTGATGAGACTACTCAATGGGGAGAGGATAGTCTCTTCAGTAAATGGTGCACAAGGGTTCTCTTGGGGAAATGGGGAAAACTGGACAGCTACATGCAAAGAATGAAACTGGATCCTTACCTTACACTGTATGTAAAAATGAACCCAAAATGGGATAAAAACTTGTACGACCCCAAACTATAAAACTCCTAGAAAAAGAGGGAAAAAGCTTCTTGGCAATTTTTTTTTTGGGGGGGGCAGGCAACGATTTCTTGGATATGACACCAAAAGCACAGGCAAAAAAAATAAATAAAAATAGACAAGTGGAACCACATCGAACTAAAAACCTTCTTCACAGCCAAGGAAACTGACTACGAAATGAAAAGGCAACTTATGGAAGGGGAGAAAATATTTGCAAACCATATATCTTATAAAGGGCTGATATCCAAAATATATAAGGAGCGCCTACAACTCAAAAGCAAAAAATCCCAAATAATCCAATTAAAAAGTGGGCAGAGGACCTCAAGAGACATTTCTCAAAAGGAGACAAATAGCCAACAGGTGCATGAAAAGGTGCTCAACATCACTAATCAACAGAAAAATACAAATCACAACCACAATGAGAAATCGTCTAACATCTGTTAGGATGGTTATTATCAAACGGATGAGAGGTTGCAAGTGCTGGCACGGATGTGCAGACAAGAGCCCTTGTGCACTGTTAGTGGGAATACAAATTGGTGCAGCCATTATGAAAAGCAGTATGGAAGTTCCTCAAAAATTAAAAATAGAACTGCCTCTTCTCCAACAATCCCACTTCTGGGAGTATATCCAAAATAATTTAAATCAGAATCTCAAAGAGACAAGTGTACTCTCATGTTCACTGCAGCCTCACTCACAATAGCTAAGACATGGAAGCAACCTAAGCATCTATTGACAGACAAAGGGATAAAGAAAATGTGGTTTATACATACAGTGGAATATTATTCAGCCATCAAAAAGGAAATCCTGCCATTTGTGATAACATGGATGAACCTGGAGGATACTATGCTGAGTGAAATAATGCAGAAACGAAAGGACAGATCTACCTGATAGCACTTATGTGAGGAATCTAAAACAGTCAAACTCACAGAAGCAGAATGTAGAACAGTGGTTGCCAGGAGCTGGAGAGAGGGGGAAATGGGGAAATATTAGTCAAAGGGTACAAACTTTGGTTAAGCAAGATGAGTAAGTACTAGAGATGTACTATAGCATAGTGCCTGATGTAAACAGTACTGTATTGTATACTTAAAAATTTGCTAAGAGGGTTGATCTTAGTTAAGCATCCATATTATACACACAAAAATAATAAATTAAGAGGATGGGAGGAAATTTTTGGAGGTGATAGAGGTTTATGGCCTCATTTGTGATGATGGTTTCATGGGTGTATTCTTATCTCCAAACTTACCAAGTTGTATACATTAAA